TTTTTTTTTTTTTTACGTGAGACCAACTTTTTATGGATGAAAACAAACTCCAAAAGGAAGTGAGATAAGAAACAAAAAGAAATGGGAACATAATACAAAAATCCAAAGAAACACCAGTGGCTATGATGAATATAAGAAAGCATCCCAGCATAAACAAATATCCTACAAAGAAAATCCCGCGAACAGCTTTGATAGAGAACACCAAGATGAAACCTTAGAAGATCTCTCCTAGCCCTAAAGATTCTATTATTTCTCACACCCAGAGAACTCAAAAGATAGCACAAATATCGTCACCCTTTCTCACAAAAAGGAAAAGAAAGTACCACCTTAGAAGAAACTTCATCAGCCAGGTCATCTTCCCAGGTTCCATAGTCATCCTACAAAAATACAGAACTGATAATATCATGTTATTGCTTTTGGAAAAGACAATAATTTCATAATAGAAAATGATAAATAACATAAACGTTCTTAATCATCTTATTATTTGCCTGACAACAATGTAAATGAAAAAAATGAAAAAGACGTCAAAAAGTAGAATATCCGCTATGAAGAGAGGACTATATCAAAGTTGCCTCCAAATTTCAAGGAGAAACAGACAAAAAATTTATAAGATTAGCAATCTTACAATTTTTCTTTTTTCTTTTCTTTTCTTTTCTTTTCTTCTTTTTTTTTTTTTTTTTTTTTTTTTTTTTTTTTTTTTTTTTTTTTTNTTTTTTTTTTTGTCAAGAGAATTCATCGAGTAAAATGAGAAAAGAAGGTAGGAAGATGAGGAGTCCTTTCTCGACCAAAAAGGGGGTTCAAAATCCCTCCATTTGGGTCCTTACAGCTAAATCTTTTGTAACTAAGCTTCTTCTACTTTACCGAGCAATTGGAAAGCTTCCATGTAAATCTGCTTTTGTACTTTTCACTTTCAATTGATGAAAACTACCATTTCTTCTTTAAAAAGTAAAAAATAAAAACTACGAATAGTTATAAACAAGTCAAACCACCATTTTTTGTATTTTGATAAAATGAAAAAAAAAATTGCAAAGAACTATACTTACATCTAGACTACAAGGAAATTTCCAAGTCAAAAACCAAAGAAAGCAGGAAAGCACCCAAGGATCAATACATCCCAACCCAAATAATCCTAAAGCTTACAAAAGGACAAACCAAAGAACCTTAGAAATGCAGCCACAAAGGAACTTTGGATATCCAAAACTGAACCACCAAATAAATAAACTTCGCAGCAAGACTTGAACTCCACTACTCATAAAAGCAATCCTGAACCAAACATTTGATGTGAGAGCAGTAACTTCAAAATCACCACCAAGAACCTTCTAATGTGAAACAAGCAGAACAACACAATATCAGAACCGTTGCTTCTAACCTCTAAATTCTACTTCTAGAATAACTTCAGTCTCACCCAATTCTTTTGTATCCCTTTCCAAACCGAGCAAGATTGCAACCAGATTTGATCCCACCCTTTCCATAAATCTCAAAGACCTTAAAATTTTAGAGCTTGAGACATTCCTCATCCCAAGCATATAAAGGCCACTAAATTTTCCAACAATATATAATGAGCAAACAAACTACAAACCAATGGAGAAAAAGGTGACTGAGAAATCAGCAGGAATATTTATTGGCTATTAACTACATCATTGGATAATTAAATTTGAGCTGAAAACAATCGATGTAGAATTAATCAAACTTTTTTGTGTACCTCTTCTTGCTGTTCCACATACTGTTTGATCCATTCAGCTTGGGATGATTGGAATAAATCTAGCTTATCATCATCTTTACGCCTATTCAATATAACAGGAATATCTTTGTCTCCATCTTTATATTTAGAAGATTGGACTCCCACGGGAGGGCAGTCTTTTTGTGCAGTCTGTAGAATACGAACAGAACCACCTGGAAAGTATTATAGGGCAGTAGCATAAAACGTCCAAAATTGTTAGCATTAACTGTAAGTCGATAAACTTGAAATGTAAACAGCCACCATTCTGTGAAACGAATGTACAAAGCATAATGTACCTGCATGTGCATGCAGAGAAGTTCCACTTGAAAATTTCAGTGGAAGCTCACTACTCGGCAAGTTCAAGCATAACCAATCAAGAGCAGCCTCAAATGTAGCACTATCCTACTCAGGACAAAAAAAAAATTGGGACATTTGTAGGAGACATGTATGGTCGAAGTATCATCTGAGGAACTATAAAGTTTCAGGAACTGAGAGCTACAATCAATGTCTAGATGGTCAAAACAGTTACAAATAGGCCATAGATGTCAAACAAAAACTGAAAATAGAAAATGAATAGTAAGACAAAACAATTTCAGAAAACTGGCAGCACATATAATTTATTTTAGCCAAAGGTGTCACGTAGAAACTTTGCAATTGGCAAGTAAAGATGTTAAACAGAAGTTACAGAAGAGATCTAGACTTAATTTCCCGTCCTAAAGCAGACTTAAAGGCCTTGACAATAAAGAAAAGGGTTCTAATTTTATCGGCTTCTAAGGAAGAAGAAACAAGATTTCATCAGCAAACTCAAGCTAATATTTGAGAGACATGAACATTGTCCATATCAACCACGAAGCCTTCAAAATAAGACCTGTGAGGGTAATTTTTTTCCAAAAAGCAACATAGACAGTTAGCACCAATGTCAAAAAGAAAGGAGAATAGCGAATGACCCATTGGGCTTGGACATTCCCCCTAGGCTTCCCATCTATTGATATATTTGCTTGGTACCAAAAAATGGTGATGTTATTCCTCTGTGTAAAACATCATTAACGCTAGAGTTTCAATTGCTAAGGTAGCCATGCCGTTTATTTTATCGTAAAGTTTTCCATTTACTATTTATACGGTCGTGTCATTTGAAGTTGTAATACAAAGTAATTTTCAATTGTACGCCAGTGAGAGAAGTCCCTAGAATATCTACATTTTAAGTTTATGTTCCTTTTTTTCTCCATAAATCTTCTACCTGCGTAACCTAAGCACATGATTAACATTCATCTTTAAGCCTATTAAATAAAACGAAAAGGAGAACGATCGTAAATGTGTCTCGCATTGAAAGAATCTAATTACGTTCCAAAATATTGTAGTGTGTTTGATAAACTGAATTCATGAACTATGAGTTAAAAATGCAGAAAAATGAAAATTCAATAAAGAACATGCAATTGTATGAGAGATGGTACAAGTCCCAACTCCACAAAGATTATTAAAGGAAACACAAGAGCTTTTGCCAAAATGCCAATAAATAAAACACAATTCCATTTCATTCGAATTCTACAATTCGTTAAACAAAAGAACCGACGGGTAAACATGATCCATCAACACTTTCTTAATTCTGCACTCTTCCATTTTCTTACCCACGTAGTGTTTTTTTAATCAGGAACCAAATTAACCAGATTGAACAACCGTCTCAAAAACCAAAGCAACCACAACTACTACAACATATAGAACGAAAGAGCTGAAGGAAACACTTAAATGCTGCTCAGCAAAATTAACTCATTGAAGAACAAGTTACCCCGATAGTGGAGAGTGCCAGCTCAATCTGATCATTGGTAAAACCTTCGCATGAGAGCTTCTCGTAAACAGATTGAAGCTTCTTGACCTTCTGGACTTTTGAGAGCGAATCATCAGCGTGAGTAACCGATGGAGTGGAGCGGCCGGAGCTCAGTAGGAGACGACGGAGACGAGTCTCGTTTTCGGCGGAGATATGAAGTTTCGCACCGGACGTGGAAGAACGGGAATCGGAGGTGGAGGAAGTTGGATTGGATTTTCGGTTGTTTTGCTTCTGCTTCGGCTGCTGCTGCTGCTTCTTCCTTGGAGCCATTGTACGCAGACGCAAAGATCCCAGAAAAAATAAATAATAAAAATAAATACGCCTAAATTCATTTCGCTTTTATTAAATTACAAATTTACCCCCAATTTTGTTAGTATTTACATTTATAGTCAAATTTTGTCCGAGTTTTTTTTTTTTTTTTTAATATTATTATGAATGATTCTTTCCGCAGTAAATTTAATAAACTATTATTATTATTTCTTTAACCCATATAAATTTAATAAACGAAAATTATTATTATTATACAACTCAATTGGATAAAAATAATTTAAAGAATTAAGTTTAAGATTTATTCGAGAATTAAAATTTAAAAATTTAAAAATACTTATATTAAAATTAATTCAAAATTAATTCACCTGATCTCACATTCATCTGCTCAACATTGTTTATTAGGATTTAGAAACTTTCCCTAACATACTATTTTAAAATCTCGAGGAAAAGCTCGGAAAAGTCCTAAAAAGACTATGTCTACTAGCAGTGGTCTTGAACCGTTAAAAATAGTATCAGAGCCAAGCACCGAACGGTGTGCTAGCGAGGACGTTCGCCCAAAATGGATAAATGATATTAAAGCTAGAAATCGAGTGATATCTCACTAATGACACAAATGGTATCGGAGCCAAAAATCAGGTGAGGTGTCAACGATGACGGAGCTTCATGAAATCTCACACTGATTAGAGAGAGAAATGAATGTTAACGAGCATTGAGCTCGAAAGGAAACCCAAAAAGTGTAATTTGTCTGCACTTTTATAAATATTTTTGGGATTAGATGTTTTTTTTTTTTTTTTTAATGAATAAGAAATATGTTACTGTAAGTCTTGAAGAGGATATCGATACGCATACATTCTTGCATGGAAGAACCTAGCTGAACCGGATCAAGGGTTCTAACCGAGTCCAACTGACCTTCTTTAGCTGGCCCCCACCCCTTGTAACGAGGTCAAACCGTACATACTTTTTCCTTTCGATTGGCGAGATAGCTTACCAGCTCGTTCACAGTACATTTTGAGTCAACTCAGGTTCAATAGGCCTATACATAATTTTGTCAAATACTCAAACAAAAAAAAATATATAGATAAAACAATATAACAAGAAATTAAATAAAGGTAAACTCAACTCTACTCGATTCAAAATCATTCTTAAAAATTAAAATTAGAAAAATATATATATATATTTGTGATGAGGGTCTTCAATCTTGGAAGCCATGCGAGCAAGAACAAAGCATCGCAGAGAGAAGAAGAGAACAATTCTCTCTTAATTATATATAAACTCTAATTAACAGAGAAAGAGAGGGGAAAACAGGACTGAAAACCCTAATATAGAATTGCTAGAGGTTGATGACGGTTTGAGCAGGAATCTCAGTGTAATCGACCTCATCGCCGGATTCAATGGCCATATTCCCCAACCTCATCAAGCTCCCGGTCGCTAAAATGGCTTTCGGATTAATATCGTGCATAGATCTCACATACAAGCTCCGAATCGCACCAATGGCAGCTTTGAACAACGGCGTTGTTTCATTCTTCTTGCTCTTTGTAATCAAATTCGACCCTAGAAGACAGTGCCCTAACACTCTTAGTATCGGCTGAAGAATCTCCCATGGCAATGGAATAATCCCGATGTCCTCCTCCTCCTCCTCCTCTTCCTCCTCCCTCTCATCTTTTTTAGCTCCTCCGGATTCATCGTCGCCGCCGGCCCACAATCGGCAAAACTCGCAGAAATCGATCTTCGAAGACTCTGGAATCTTCTCGATCTTCGTGTAGTAGAGTTCGAGGGCGACGCCGACGATTCGGGCCCTTTTGGTGGAGCGGACCATGCCGTGGGGCTCCAATGATGGGGAGATTACGGCGAGATTGAGAGCGGTGGCGTTGTATTTCAGAGGGGATTTCGTTTCGTGGTAAATGCTAGGGTGGGCTAGGTCAGGGATGTTGACGGTGAGGGGTTGGCTAGCGCGGCGGTTGGTTTCGTGAGCGTAGAGGGAGAGGAGGACGGCTTCGAATCCGGCGAGGGATTTGCGGCGGGAGACGACGCGGGAGAGGTAGGCGCCGAGGAGGATAGGGAGGAAGCGGAGGACGACGAGTTTAAGGTCAGGGTTGTTGGATTGGAAAGTGTCGTAGAGCCAACGGCAGAGGTTGTCGTCACCGGCGCCGGAGGTGGAGCTGCGGAGAAGGGCGGTGATTTGGGCGGTAACTTCCGTGTCGTGGAGGAGGGCGAGGGCGGGGTTGGGAGCGGCGGAGAGAGCGGAGGAGATATTTGGGAGGATGAGTTTTAGTGATTCGATGGCGGATTGAGCGATGCTGGTTAAGGATGCCGTTTGTGAGACGTCGAATCTCACCACCAGGCCGCTGCCGCTCGTTCTCCTGTTATGTCGGGCGGTGGGTTGTTTGGCGGCGGGAGGGGTGGTTTCTTCGGCGGAAACTGCAGGGGTTGGCTCTTGGGCAGCGGCTTCTTGTGCAGTGGTTGTTTCTTGGCCCGCCGGGCGGCCGTTGTCGGCGTGAGAGGATGACATCAGCGGTGGCTGCGGTGGAAATTAATTATGGCGATTTTGTTTGTTTTTTTTTTTTTTTACGGAAAATTGCAATTTGAGTTTAATTATTATTATTTTTCTTTTGGGAAAAAATGGGTAAAATGAAAAGGAAATTACCGAGAGTAAAAAAAGGAGTAGAAATAGGACATTCCCCTCCAAATGCGGTAACTATTCAAACTTTCATCCACTCCTTACCATCTGCATTTACCCATGATTAATTAATTAATATAAATTATAATTATAATTACTATAATGTACACCCCTTGAGTGGGTGACGTGGCAACATAGCGGGTTATTTTTTAATTATTTAAAAATTAATTTTAACCTTCATTGAAGTTAGGATTTATTGGGTTATCCGGTCATATGAACACATATATTGTTTTATATTTGGATGGTATAAAATTTGTGGCTAGTTATGTGGTTTTTTTTTACGAGATCATTTTGAATTTTGCAACAGTATAAGATGGATCGAGGGGGTCCACTAGAGGAGTTCGCTCCGCCGTGTAAGATCCTCAAACCTACCACAGCCATCAATTGCAACCTATTTTAGTCCGTTAAACCTCACAATTTTAAAACTCGTATTCTAGGAAGAAGTTTACACACCTCATAAATAATGTTTTGTTCCTCTCCTCAACTGAGATCCGATCTCACATCAAATAAGTTGAGGTTTTTAAAGTTCGGTACGAGAACATCAATTCAATAACTTTATTCTACGAGTGCTTTGAAATATTATAAGAGCATGTGATTCTTGAAAATGAGCATATAAATAATATAAGAGAGAGATATGTAATTAAGGGACCAAATTGCAATAATGTTCTTTTTCCTTTGGTTTCATTTTTGGTCACAAATTGGCTGACAATTTCAACGTGGGTTTTGATGCTTTTTGCCTCTTAAGTTCAATTTTTACCACTTCCATCACCTTGCCAACCATATTCTTGTTTATTTGGTTCTTCATCAACCAAATTTTGGACATATTCCCTTCTCCCGAGGTTTAGTTTATGTCGATTTTCGTTCTTTTATTTTCATTTGTAAGGGACTAAACTTGTAATGGTTGGATGAACTTAGTCGTGTCAATAGATTGCTAAATCCTCAAATGTCGAACAAAGTACTCCAAAACAAAAAGGAGTCAACTCTCCTCGAAGGCATAGTAAAAAATGACAAGACTCCAAAGGAGTCGAGCCTCGATTAAGGGGAGGAGTACTTTGTTCGAGAGGAGGTGTTGGATGATGAAAGTCCCACCTCGGCTAATTAAGAGAATGATCATGAGTTTATAAACAAAGAATACTCTCTCAATTAATAAAGCCTTTTGGGGACGTCCAAAGCAAAGCCATGAGAGCTTATGCTCAAAGTAGACAATATTGTACCGTACCATTGTGGAGAGTCCTGTTCGTCTAACAGTAACGACCCAAGTCCACCATTAGCGGATATTGTCTTCTTTATGCTTTCTCTCCGAGCTTCCCCTCAAAGTTTTAAAACCTCTTCCTGTGTCCTACGCGGTGGATTGTGAACGATATCTATTAGTGGTGCGCTTGGGCTGTTACTAAAATTACGATGAAATAAAACTATAATATATAATTTATAAATATTCTTAAGGGACAAAATTTTATTTTTATTTTAAGCATATGCTTTTATACATCACTTAATTAAGATGAAGGTTTTGATGTGACGATGAAGATATATTATTAGATCATATATTCTTCTCACACACACATCAATCATATGTTTATTCCCAATGCTATGATTTTTTTAATTTATATATTCCCAACTTGTCCTTTCAATACCATCATATAGAGTTTACCTTAGATTTTTTTTTCCTCTTAAATGTCATTTTTAAATAATTATAAGAATATATTCTTATAGGATTCCATATCTTATCCTTTTTTATTATTTTTTTTTGTCGTTTTCATTTCGATGGCTAATTTTGTGTTAATTTAGGTTTCTTTCGTTTGTCGTGGGTATTTGATCGTTCGACTATAAAAGAAGAACATATATATTTGACGTTTTAATTACTGATCTGCTGCGTCCGTATTGGCAATAAGTTTGAGGTGATAACTTTAAGTGAGTATTATCGGGATTTTGTTCTTCCTCACACATTCCCAGTCCGTCCCTGGGCTAGCATGTGGCGATCCGCTCTAGTCGCGAGAACAGCTCGAGCAGTCCACCATGAACCAACAGATTTGGGACTTGGACCCCATGCCCAGTCCTCAAAGCCAATCCCTTTTCTCGAGGTTACGGATCCATTTTGTCAACTTCCTTTGCCAACATTATTCCATGGTTTGGATATTTTAATATTATGAAATTGACTGTTCTAAATTCTCTTACAACATAAATCAGTTTAGATCGAGTAAGTTATTACAAGTATATAACTATTTGGAATGAGTACATTTTTTCAATTTTATGAACGAGCGTAATTCTTTGAATTATAACACATCTTATTCTTATTTTCACTCAATAAATAAATATATATTCTAACGTCACATCATTATACAAATATGATGTTGCGCTGTCTCGAAATCTTTAGAAATCCAATATTAGAACTTCAAATAAAAATAATAAATAAAGAGAGACGGGACCCGACATTATAGATTTAACTCGTTTTCATTGCTGAATAACATAAGTATCCACCAACACGAGCATAGTTCAACAAATATGTATGTATAATGCATATTCTCGACATTTCAAATCCTACGCTCCACATATTTGTTCGTTTATGGAGCTCACATAGGGATTATATGGAATAATGGATCACATAACACTACAATAAGCATGGACATTATCTTCACTAAAAAGATGAACAGTGTTATCACTAACAGTTGAATATAAAGGATCTGGGAAGTATCCATGGACGCCTTCATTAAAACCATGCCTGTAATAATTATACGTCGACGCATACGTCGATTCGTCGTAGTATTGCGACGCGTATGGATAGTATTCACTGTCGTAAGGGAACGGCCATAGCTCGGCTTTTCGCCCCGTTCCTCTCACCTTCTTTAGTACTTTTCTTTCTTCTACATATCCAGTTACAGTCACCTTCTGTTTGTCCATGTCTATTTCCAAGCTATCTACTCCTGTTATGTAACTTTTCTCAGTTAGCTCACAAACCAAATTTGCTCATTAAATAGTAGTGCTTGCCTTTGATCTTAGAGATCGCTCTTCGAACCCGATCCTCGCATCCATTGCAGTCCATGTGCACTAGAAGCTCGACAATCTGATGCATACGAGCATTAAATGGATTAAATATATGATGACTTATCGACTTAAGCTTTTAAGTTTAAGTAACAGCCAAAGTCCACCGCTAGCAGATATTGTCCTTTTCGGACTTTTTCTTTCGGGCATCCTCTCAAGGTTTTTAAAATGCGTTTGCTAAGGAGAGGTTTCTACACCTTTATAAAGAATGTTTTGTTCTCCTCACCAACCCAGGTGAGATCTCACGGTTTCAGTAAGAGTTAAAGACGTTAGAGAAAACGGAAGGGAATGACTGCATACCGCTAGCAGATATTGTCCTCCTTGAACTTTCTCTTTCGGGCTTCCCCTCAAAGTTTTTAAAACGCGTCTACTAGGGAGAGGTTTCCACACCCTTATAAAGAATGTTTTGTTCTCCTCACCAACCCAGGTTAGATCTCACCATTTCAGTAAGAGTCAAAGACATTAGAGAAAACGGAAGGGAAAGACGGCACACGATTAGTAGATATTGTCCTTTTTAGAATTTTCCTTTCGAGCTTCTCCTCAAGGTTTTTAAAACGTGTGTGCTAGGGAGACGTTTCCACACCCTTATAAAGACTGTTACGTTCTCCTCACCAACTAACGTGGGATCTCACAGTTTCAGTAAAAGTTAAATACATTAGAGAAAACGGAAGGGAAAGACGGCACACCACTAGCAGATATTGTCTTCTTTGGACTTTTCCTTTCGACTTCTCCTCAAGGTTTTTAAAACGCGTCTGCTAAGGAGAGGTTTCCACACCCTTATAAAAAATGTTTTGTTCTCCTCACCAACCCACGTGAGATCTCACAGTTTCAGTAAGAGTTAAAAGACATTAGAGAAAACGGAAGGGAAAGACAGCACACCACTAGCAGATATTGTCCTCTTTGGACTTTTCCTTTCGAGGTTCTCCTCTAGGTTTTTAAAACGCATATGCTAGGGAGACGTTTTTACACTCTTATAAAAAATGTTTCGTTCTCCTCATCAACTGACGTGGGATCTCACAGTTTCAGTAAGAGTTAAAGACATTAAAGAAAACGGAAGGGAAGTACGACACACCACTAGCAGATATTGTCCTCTTTGAACTTTCCCTTTCGGGTTTCCCTTCAAGGTTTCTAAAACACGTATGCTAGGGAGACGTTTCCACACCCTTATAAAAAATGTTTCGTTCTCCTCACCAATCGACATGGGATCTCACAGTTCCAGTAAGAGTTAAAAGACATTAGAGAAAACAAAAGGGAAGGACTGCAGTACTTACCGACATGGCATTGGAGGATCGTTTGCGATGAAATCGTCGCCCAAACATGACGATGGTCGATATGGCTGAAGGGTTTGGTTGTATAAATGTATAATATATAGCAAGTTATGGGGTTCCCTTTTGCTGTTTCTGCATGGAGCATTGTGTGTGTATTTATTCTTATTATGAGGTTTGGTTTTTTTTTTCTTTTCCAAAAGCTCATAGGAATAAAAGAAAATGGCTCAAATTGGGGCTGCCTTTAATTTGCTCTGTCCATTTGAATCGATACTCTCATCCCTTCCTCTTATCCCTAACTATGACCCTAAAAGTTTTCATTCATTAAGAGGGAGAAACCAACATGGGACATGACAGATATTTATTCTGATTTTGGTTTATTCTTTTCTATGCATAATCAAGGAAATGAGATGTGGCCAAAAGGATAAGGGGTTGGATGTTCATGTCAATGTGGGTTTCTAAATGGGAAGTTTTAGAGAGAATTGTAAAAACAAATATCATCCGTTTCTTTAGAATATTTTCTTTAGAATATCATGCCACAAATATTCTAAAGAAACGTCTGAACCGATAGGTTGATTTTCTCTAAGAATATTACCTCACGAATACCGGGGATGATTTGAATCTATAATCTTTTAAAGAGTAGAAATGTTTTACTATTTGTAACCGTCCAAGTCCAAGCCTAAGCCCAAGCCCACCGTTAGCAGATCTTGTCCGTTTTTGCCCATTATGTATGTTATCAACCTCATGATTTTAAAACGTGTGTGTTATAAAGAGGGTTTCACTCTTATAAGAAATGTTTTGTACCCCTCTTCAACCGATGTATGATCTCACAATTCACCCCCTTGGGGCCAACGTCCTCACTGGCACATTGCCCAATGTCTAGTTCAAATACCATTTGTAACCGTCTAAGCCCAAGTCCACCACTAGCAGATATTGTCTGCTTTGGCCTGTTACGTATCTCGCCAAAGCGCAGATGTTACGAAGAGGTTTTTACTCTTATAAGGAATGTTTTGTTCCCCTCTCCAACTGATGTGTGATCTCACAATCCACCCCCATGAGGCCAGCGTCCTCGCTGACACATTACCTAATGTCAAGTTCTGATACCATTTGTAACAGTTCAAACTCACTGCTAGCAGATATTGTCCACTTTGGCTCATTGCGTGTCTAACCTTTAGGCTATGTTGAGGTTGACCATATTATCATGTCTTTGAACTTTTTGATTTGAGCTATTCATGCACGTCCAACGTGGAAGTATGTTACAAATAGACTCTACCAATGGTAGGTTATTGCAACAGTTTCATCTTGTGTAATTAATTGCAACACGGTTTATCTGAGCATAGCTCGGTGGATATATAAAATCTATTACCATTCTGGTTCGATCTTCTTCACTCCACAGTTGTTGGACTAAAAAATAATTGCTATAATGAAAAAAACATATGGTGAGACAGCCCTATAGTTTGGTTTTACGGTAACGATTAAATATATAGTTGAGAGTGATTTTAAATATGATAAAACTAAATTCAATCATTTCAAAATCACTCTCAAACATACCATAAGACACAACTTCGAATTACTTTTAATAACGTAGCTCGATCAGTTAATCCATTATATCCACGAGGAAAAGGTGGAAAAATGTTTTTGATATACCCTTACCATTCAATATGAGACAAAGTTTTCTACCTCTTTTCCCATCAACACAAGCACCAAAACCAGCAAGAAAAGATTCTCATCAGTACAATGGAGAAAGTTCTAACGGATCGTAACAGCCCAAGCTTACCGCTAATAGATATTGTCCACTTTAGCCCGTTATGTATTGCCATCAGGCTCACGGTTTTAGAATGCGTCTACTAGGGAGAGGTTTCCACACCTTTTATAAGGAATGTTTCGTTCCTCTCTCTAACCGACACGGGATTTCACTATCCACTCCCCTTGGGGGCCCAATGTCCTCGCTCACATACCATCCAGTGTTTGGTTTTGATACCATTTGTAACAGCTCAATCTTACCGCTAGCAGATATTATCTTTTTTGGGTTTTCTCTTTCAGGTTTCCCCTCAAGGTTTTGAAACTCATCTATTAAGGAGAGGTTTTCACACCCTTATAAGAAATGTTTTGTTGCCCTCTCCAACTGATATTTTGGCAAATATATATCAGTTCAACCGAAAGAAACTTTGTACTCACATCAGTCAGTCAAGGCCATAGAAAGAGTTCAAATAAAAGCACCGCCTCCAAGCGGACAACATATTAAAGTTACTTCACTTTTCCCAGGTATGAACGAGTGTTTGGCCTACCTCAAATGTGGTTCTATGGATGTTATGTGACAGCCACGCCTTTAACATTTGGCATCCAAAACTCGGAATTGTTAGTATACTACATAAATAGCTACCATAATTTGATCTCGTGGCTTCAACGATACCTAGTTTCACAACTTGTCCCTTAACTAGTTAGTCGAACTCGCAGTAAAGCATCATAGTCTTTTCCTCCATGCCAAAAGGGAATTCTGATGTTCGTTTTCCAACAATAAATGAAGGGAAGTGACTAAAGGTGTAACGACCCAGATCCACCGCTAGCAGATATTGTCCTCTTTGGGCTTCCCCTCAAGGCTTTAAAATGCGTCTGCTAGGGGGAAGGTTTCCACACCCTTATAAAGGGTGGTTTGTTCTCCTTCCCAACCAATGTGGGACATCACAATCCACCCCCCTTCAGGGCCCAGCGTCCTCGCTGGCACTCTTTCCTTCCTTCAATCGATGTGGGCCCGCCCCTAAATCCACCCCCCTTTGGGGTCCAGCGTCCTTACTGGCACACCGCCTCGTGTCTACCCCCCTTCGGGGAACAGCGAGAAGGCCGGCACATCGTCCGGTGACTGGCTCTGATACCATTTGTAATGACCCAGATCCAACGCTAGCAGATATTGTCCTCTTTGGGCTTTCCCTTTCGGGCTTCCCCTCAAGGCTTTAAAACGCATCTGCTAGGGGAAGGTTTCCACACCCTTATAAAGGGTGGTTTGTTCTCCTTCCCAACCAACGTGGGACATCACAAAAGGTTCCAATACCATGCCAAGGCAAATATGATGGGATGAGGAGTATTCGAAATGGGGCAAATCAAATCATCGGGGCATTTTGAGGATATGAAGCCTTCTTACTATTATTACTGTCCTTCAAGATATATAAACTCACTCCTCTGAGAAGGAAGTCAAAGATATCAGCACGACGATCAAACAAGTCGAAGTCCCCAACCCAAGATTCTGCACTTGATAGCTCCAATACTCCCAATTCCCTGCTTCTCTAGCAATCTGAATGTGTCGTATGACATGCTTTATAATCACTTGTAAACAAGCCTAAGTCCTTTCAACATGCATTTTCAACACTCACATGCTTTGTAACAGCCCAAACCCACCACCAATAGATATTGTCCGCTTTTGCTCGCCGTCAGCCTCACGGTTTTAAAAGGCGTCTACTAGGGAGAGGTTTTCATGTCCTTATAAGACCTATCTCCAACCGATGTGAGATCTCACAATCCACCCCCTTTGGAGCCCAGCGTCCTGACTAGCACACTGCCTAGTGTTTGCCTCTAATACCATTTGTAACAGCCTAAGCCCACCGCCAGTAGATATTGTCCATCTTAGCTCGTTACATACCATCGTCAGCCTCACAGTTTTAAAATGCATCTACTAAAGAGAGGTTCCTACACCCTTATAAGACCCCTCTCCAACCGATGTGGGATCTCACATACTTTTCACAAAAATCTCTTTAAAGCCACTCTACCTAGAATTGCCCAAGCTGCGCAATATCAAAATCACTTTCTCATGTTGATGTGATGTAAGTTTATTTATGTCATTTTGCCAAGAAGGCTATCACGAGTTGTTCCTTGCCCCGGTTACAACGTAAGTTTATTTATGTCATTTTGCCAAGAAGCCTATCACGAGTTGTTCCTTGCCCCGGTTACAACTCCAGGGGTTACATTCATGGTCCAAAACCCCATTTTGGCATGGAGTTGAACTTCGATTCTAATCATAGAGAAAGGAAAAATGCACACTCTTACAGAAGATAACAAGCATGAACAAATGAATGTGTTCATCATCGGATAGAACAGAAACCAAATTCAAGCTCAATTTGTTTAAAGGAAAGCAATCAAATCAATCTTCAATTTCCATCTCACTACCCAGTTCCCACCCCCAATCCTCAGCAAAAACCAGTGAAAACAATATCAATTTCCATCAACCTCGTCATAATCAAGAAGCAGAGTCATAATAGACAATTTTAAACAATAAAGGCAGCTGAAAGAAGAGTTGAACCTGGAGTTAATCGTACTTTTCTCTCCATGAATACACAAGAAAGAAGACCCATGACAATGCCAATGTAACATCCCCAACGACCTGTCGAGGCCAATCTTGGGCGAGATCCTCAAGCTTTCTCTCGAAATAAACTCTCCATATGGCCATGGCAAGGTGAAGCAACACGCATCCTTTAGCAAAGAAGCTTTGAAACTCTCTATCTTTGACAAATGCCACCATGAATAAAAGAAACCCAACAGTAAAGAGAAGCAAACCAGAGAAGGAATCAGATGTCCTTATCAGAAGCTGATCGTGGGAGCTAGATCCCTGCAGCTTGATCGCTGTTTCAGGGCCATGGCCAAACACATAGACCTCGTGGGAGTAAAACATCATTAACGCTCCACAAGTTAAAGCAATCAGAGAATGAAGCATACAGATTAACAAAAACCCCCCAGATGATGCCATTGAATTGATTATCACCTGATTAAGAAGATTCTCCCTCTTGTAGAAGAAAATCTCCGCCAGGAATCAAATATCCCCTGACAGATCCAATTTGCGAGTTGATCATAATCTATCAAAAACCCTAAACCTCGATCTCCAAACAAAATCGAACATCAACAGAGATCCCAAGCACGGAAAAATACAAAAATTAACACAAATTCAAGAATCTGGAAAAGAACAACCCACAATTTCGGATCGAAATCCTACACTCGACGCACTTTGCAAAAATCAGAGGGAGAATCAAGATGAACAATCAGGAATGGAAATTAATGGAAGGCAATTCCATGAAGAGATTAAGATTCAGAGAAATGGGTGGGAGAGGAGGGGATGCGCTTAACTGGCATAGAGATTGCTGCTTCCAGTAGCCATCTCCATTCCCATACCTTCCTCTACAGTTTCTCATGCAGAAAACGCCACGCCCCTTCCGCCAATTTCCCTTGTCTGTGGTGCTGCGAGTTCAAACCAAATTGGTAGCAATGGATAACGTTAATCCATTTCAATTAACGAAGTCATTATGAAGCTAATCATGATTATGTTACGGTTTAACTCAAAATGATGATGAACTAAATAAGCCTATTTTTACTTTTATTTAATTTAATTTTAACCAAATATATTATTTTATTATTGACTTAAAAAATTATATATTCAAATCTTATCCTCGCCTATTAAATTAAAAAATTATTATTTTATAATTAAAATTAAAAAATGTGTGGCTTATGGATTATCTATTGAATAAATTGAGGCATTATAAAATTATTACATGTCAATTATCGATGAATTATGTTTATAATGTTTATTTAATGGGTCTGTAAGGACTTGTACTGAATGGGGTAGAAAATCTCTGTTTAAATGGAAAATTGGGGAGGAACTGATGAGAGAATTTTACTTACTAGCTACACGAGCTGGAGACCGAGATTATATTTTTCGTCCTCGATCTTGCTCCTCACCCAATGGACATCTCTAACTTTGACATAATCAACATTCGATTAACAAAACTTTGACACGACACGCGTATTAATTCATCAAATTGTTTGTTGTATTATTTTTTCTAGAGTTCAACAATAAGCAAGAGTAGAGATTTCCATGGGCGTGCGCAGGGACGGGAAGCCCATCCCTGCTACCTATTTCATTCCCATCTCTGCAACATTCTCAATTTATTTGTGTAGGGATCAGGTTCCCCGTAAGTAAGTTTTTTCTGTTTATTATTTTTTTAAAACAAATATAGTTATTTTAAAGTTTTATATTTTTTATTAAAAAATTATAAAAAAATCCTAAAAAATCGATATATATATATATATAAATATCAATTATACAGTATTTTAATAGTTGAGTTACGTTTAAATTGACCTTTATTACATCAAGTAGAACTAAATTTAATGTTGCACGTTCAATAATATATAATTTTTCTAAAGAAATCATAAATAATAAGATTTTGGTATATTTAAACTTTTAAATAATAAAAAAAAGGAATTTTATATTAACCTCTGTTGGCATAATTGATGAATAATGATTATATATAATGCAAGTTGCCCTTCACAAGGAGGGCTTCATCATTTTTTAAATTTTTTTATTTTCAATAAATATTATTTAATAAATAAATAATTAGTATGAATTTAATATGTTTTTTTTAAACATAATAAAAAATAAAAAATCATTATCAAGCAATCTTTTTGATGTAAATATATGATTTTTTTAAAAATGTTTGTTGAATTTCTATTTGTTTGTATTTAGTTTGGTAAATTAAATTTATGTGATATTATTCCATATTTATTCTTAGTCTTTTTTTAAATTACAAAATAAATTATTATTGTTTTTTTTTATGTGACGTGGCTTGTGGTTCAATTATTTGTGGATAAAAAAATTGGATTTTCAATATATACAAAGAAAGTCTACTTGCATCCATGAGAAAGGCTTTAATAATGTTGGGCTCTTTGGGGACAAAATGACATATAGGCCCATCATAAACAAATAAATTACAATATAATAATTTCGATCGGTTTTTCAAGAGGTCGTCCAATATAGAATTGTTTCAACTAAAAAACAGTTAATGCTGAATTCGAAGGAAGTATCTGACTCATAATCCAAAAAATAGAGATGCATTTTGTGAGATCTCACATCAGTTGGAGAGGAGAATGAGACACCCTTTATAAAGGTGTGGAAACCTTGACCTAGCAAGCGCGTTTTAAAAACTTTGAGAGGAAGGCCGAAAGGGAAAGCTCAAAGAGGACAATATCTGCTAGCGGTAGGCTTAAGCTGTTATAAATGATATTAGAGAGACATGGGGGGCGATGTGTCAGTGAGGAGGTTGTTCTCCAAAGGGGGTAGACACGAGGTGGTGTGCCAATAAGGATGCTGGGCCCCGAAGGGGGTGGATTTGGTGGGAGTCTCACATCGATTGGAGAAAGGAACGAGTGTCAGCGAAGACGTTGGGCCCTGAAGGGGGGTGGATTGTGAGATCCCACATCGGTTGGGGAGGAGAATGAAACACCCTTTATAAGGGGAGAGCAGGAAGTTTGTCCTGAAGGGGTTGGATTGTGAGATCCCACATTGGTTGGGGAGGAGAACGAAACACCCTTTATAAAGGGAGAGCGGGAAGTTTGCCCTAAAGGGAGTGGATTGTGAGATCTCACATCGATTAGGAAGGAGAACGAAACACCCTTTATAAGGGGAGAGCGGGAAGTTTGCCCTAAAGGGAGTGGATTGTGAGATCGGGGAGAGCGGGAAGTTTGCCCTAAAGGGAGTGGATTGTGAGATCTCACATCAGTTGGGGAGAAGGGGAGAGCGGGAAGTTTAGGGAGTGGATTGTGAGATCTCACATCGATTAGGAAGGAGAACGAAACACCCTTTATAAGGGGAGAGCGAGAAGTTTGCCCTAAAGGGAGTGGATTGTGAGATCTCACATCAGTTGAGGAGGAGAACGAAACACCCTTTATAGAAAAGATGAATAATTTGTCTCGAGTCACAATCGGCTCACACAAAGACTCGTAAATCCATCCCGAGCCTCTTCCTCTTGTTCAGAGAAATAAGTGGCTCACAAAATCCTTCTCTCACGAAGATTCAGACCAAACCGAACTTGGACGGCGGAGTTTTCCAACCATACCCTTAATGTGAAATAAATTTCACTCAAGTGAAAAGGAAAACAAGGGGGCACCATGTAGGGGTAGATTGGTCCAAGAAAAATAAAGCATAGCCATAAATTTCATGTGCATGATTTTTCTTCACAACTGCTGATAATTTAATATACAGAGAGAGATACATCTAAATGGGTCCAAGTCTATCCACCCTCCATTTATGGCTATTTTTTCCCCCCTTATAATGACGTGTCACTAATTAATGAAACTAAATATCTTACGTGTAAATTAATCAACATTATTTTTTAATTCGTGATTTAAATTTAATATTTTTCCAAATATTTTATATTAGTCTAAAAATGACTTTTTTAGATTATATTATTAATTATGCCGTGTTCTAATAAATATAACTCATTTATTGAAGGCAATTATTAAGTAAAATGGTAAAAAAAAAAAAAAATCAATATATATGGTATGGTATAGTAAATTTAACTAATTATGACGACAAAAAAAAAAAGAAAACAAAAAAAAAATACTATTTTTGTTTGTTGTTGTTCATATCTTCAACCAAACAATTTTTTACAAAATAAAAATAAATAAATAATAGTGAAATAAAACTATTTAAAAAAATATTTTTAGAAATAAAAATATTTTATTTTTGTAATTAGTGTTAGCGATGTGTCCGCTTTCTGAAGCCTTATAAATATTTGACATGTGTAACAGGTGATGAGTTGTGACTTTCGATTGATTGACGTTTAAATTTTATAAGATATTAGTTATTTTATATAAATATAATTTATTTCAATAATTAAAAAAATAATCCGACAATTCAATAGAGCTCGAAAATAGATGGTTGGGTTGAAATATGAATTTTATTCATGTTGTTCCAGTCACTAACACAACCAACCTAAAACGTCGTTACAACTCTCACTAAAATGTATTTATGAAAGTTTGGGTATCATAATAAAATTAAAAAAAAAAAAAAAAATATATATATATATATATATATTATTATATAGATAGATAATTAATTAATTAATTAAAAAGAATTGAGAAGAAAAGCCAAACGACCATCACTGAGCAGAAACTCTCAGGCTCAGAGACAGAGGGAAAAGAGAGCGAGAGGAGTGGGGCGTTATTTATTGCTACCCTTCCACTCTCCTTTCACGCGCGTGTCTCTACGCGCAACAATTATACAATCATAATTTTTGGTAAATAAATAATTTTAAATATAGATTAATATGTCTATTTTTAGTCTTCAAATGGGTGTTTTTTTTTTTAAAAAAATAAATTTAGTTTAATTTCATATATTTTAATATTTTTTTCAGCTTAATCTTGTTATTTAGCTTGCTTGTTTTTTCGGGTGACCCATCTCTATTTTTATATGGCATGATGATTTCACCTCCCTCGAGATTCTATCAAGATTGACAAACAAAATCCCGGATCGACGGTACTACTTGTGAATATCTAATGAGAAATATACGAGGGAAGTTGTTCATAATAGCAAAAACTCTATCTTTCTCGAAGTGTAGCGGGAACGTAAATTAAAAATAGTTAAATTATATAAAAATACCCGTGAAATTTTTATTTTGTTTAAAAATTAATATTATCATTAATTTTTTATAAACATTTCAAAATCATAAATTTTGAAATGCATAAAAAATTATATTTTTTTAAAAAAATAAAGGTTAAAGTTGAAAGGTTTTATTATTATTTTTAATTTTTATAATCAAGTGCGTAACACGTACTGAGAAGCGCGTGGAGAAATGGAGAAGAATGTCTCAATGGGCACTTCGCGGCCACTCTCTCTCTCATACTGAAAGCTGCAGAGAGGCAATTATGATAATTTCGTTTTTTTTTTTGGTTCTTAAATTACGATTTTCCGTTTCTTTGATTCATCTTCTGTTATCATTGTGCCCTAGATCCATCCATGTCTTCCTTCTTCAGGTCCCAGTTCACTCCATAACCTCCACTCTCTGCATTTCTTTTTCCTCAGCCATTTTCTCTCCTTGGAAAACGTGGAAATACTTCGAGGATCATCTCTTTTGGTTCATTATTGGCTTTCTGTAAGTTCAGTGGATGATTTTCGGGATTCGATTACATTTAGTGTAGAGATTTTTCTATATGTTGCGAGTGCCGTTGCGGAATGTATTAAGGTTATTGCGTATGTTTTTAGTTTGAATTTTGGTAGGATTTGGCAAGATTTTGGGGGTTTATTGCGGAAATTGCTTAGGATTCAGAGTTGTGGCTGTTCTGGCTTAGTTGAGTTTTACTGATATTGAATATTGGATGCTAATTGCTGTTGTAATGAGCTAATTTGTGTGTGTTTTAGGTTTAGTTCCTGAGTTTTTGTTGAGTTTTTGATGAGTTTTCGCGTTATGGGAATGTTAGAAGAGGAGGATATATTAGTATTGGATGATTTGAAGCGTGAGTA